CAGGTGATTGAGTCTGTTTTCCAGCAAGACAAAGGCCAAGGGACTTCATTGGAGAGCTTCTCCAAAAATATTCTGGTTGGCAAAGGGCAGGTTACTGCCATGGCAGCTCTAAAGGAGCTTAGGAAAATCAGCAATCTATTGTCCGAGATGTGAAGCGAATCTCATGATGGTTTTGTATATGCTTCTGTAATTATAATTCTTTTCGTGACAATAAAAAGAGCTTCTTCCGCTAGGTTCCTTCCATCATCTACCAAGTTTTGCAGATGTTGAGAGATAAATATGTAAATAAGATTCCGGGTCACATAGTATGTTCATTCCTATTTATGGTTGGGTCATTTGAGATGTTAAACGGCCTCTAGTCGTCAGAGCAATAAAAGTTATTGTTAGTCATTTTTATTTACTTAGCATCCTGTGGATTTCCGTATGTATGGAGCAATTCAATACCGTTCCTAGATGCTTGCTTGCCAATTGATTTTTTACCTTACAGTTGTGCATTCTAAAAGTTGTCAAGACTTGTGGGGTTGCGTTCTAGGATTTTGTTTCCCCACACCAGGGTGTGTGCAAGTAGTAATGATAAGATTGGAACATACCTGGAAGAGAAGAAAGGAGCAGTTCACCTGGCTGTCCGCGCGCACCATTAAAAATAGGCAATGTGCTTCAATTATTACGGTGCAACTTCTTTCACCGATTATGGTGATTTATGATCATATTGGGCCTAAAACAAAAATATTTTGAGAAGGGGGGCTTAAGCAATATGTAGCCGATCTCATTTAATGAGATATGCGCTTTTTGTTGTTGTACGTTGAGACAGGGTGTACATACGGAGAAGATTCTTATATCATAAATAAATGATCAAATAATAATTTCTCCAAGTGACGGGCAACAATTTAATTTTATCACATTTCAAATACTAAGGATTTTTTAATTTCTCCATCCGAGCATAACATGTGTAAACTAAATCGGTTTAACATGTTACATTGAAGAAATCTCTAAATAAAAAAATAGATAACTAAGAGTACAAAAAATATGTAATATCGAGTGGCAACCAAAGAATCAGAGCATTTTTCAGGAAAAGAACAATAAATGTTAGCTTCCCACAAAGAATAAAAGAATGCAATGCCTTTATGAGGGTGGGTTAAGAAAGAAAGATGGCGATTGCTGAGACTCTAGAGCAGATTGTAATTACCATGTTGAGGTACTGAATTGTAAGGATGGCTAGGTACGGGTAAAGGGTCTCCAAATGGATTTGAAGAGCCTATAAACTGCATCTGTTGAGGGTATTGTCCCTGTGAAAATTGATTATTGTTGTTGTTGTTGTTGTTGTTATTATTATTATTATTATAATAAGGAACCATCATCATGTTGTGTTGTTGCTGAAACATCTGCTGCTGCTGTTCCAGCAATGCCAATTGCACATTGGTTGGAGGTGCTATGCTGTTCGACATGGCAAAGGGGTCATGTGGATTCTGATTGTGATGATCAAATGAGCTCTGCATGATCATTCCTCTGGGCCCATAACCCGCATTCTGCAGCTCAAGTTGTCTCCTCGCATTTTCGTCTTCATACAAACTGTCTAGTAATAGCTTGTCAAACCCACCCGCCTGAATCAGCAAAAAATGAGGACTTACAATCTCACAAGGCAAAAGAAAACAAGAAAAGAAAAATCCTCTTTATCCATAAGCCGTCTATATATAGAATGAGGACTTGTGTCTGTATATTTGAGAGAATGGTGTTATCATGTAGCAAGTTGAAAGGCTTCGTCACGTGTGATCTTAATTTGCTCAATTCTCCTTCACCGATGAAGTGAGGACTTGCAATCTCCTTCCGGCGAAAAAACATAACCGGTATGATCTACATTCTAAATTCCTTGGAGTCTTATTTTCCCACCAAAAAAGAACTAAATAAAAATGTGTTAAACTACATTATTCATGTACAACAGAAAAATTATATAGGACTCTCTGTAGTATTACCAAGATGGGGTTTCTAATCAGAGGTTATTCCTTACCTTTATTCTGGGGCTAATAATGCCTAAACTGTGTTTAGACAGAATAAAACAAAAGTCTTATTTTGACACTTGCCTTAGTGCAGGTGTCCTCAGTATAACCTAGATGCAGCATCAGAATTTGAGTTGTTCTGTGTTGATGATTATGCGCAGCATGCACGTTACAGTTATCTGGCCAGTGGAGAACTTTATCTATAGCCTAATTAATTATGAGGGATGGCTTTTTAAAGATTAACGAGGGTGCACTTAGAGATGAGTTGAAAATCAAATATGATAATTAACGAAGTAGTGGAGTTAGAAACCATTTTGCTATCTGGCAGCGGCTGGCTGATATTGTTGCTTGGTGTTGTGACAAGAGCAAGTTCCCAACCGGTAGTCCCAGCAATGTTACTTAACCCGGCGTTGATCGAAGGATAATTTCCTGCATAACATAGCGAAATCTCAACCATGATTGTACCAAGAATCAAACAACGAGTGCAGTTAATTTAAAGATAAGCCATAATTTAGTTTAAGAAGAAAACTATATCAGATCCCGTCCTAAACATGGCGTACATAAACAGATGAGAAATTCCAGAGGTGTTCTCATGATTTTATTCTCGGCTATTGCATGCTCATAAAAATTATTTCTGATACAGCTATCTGCCATTTTCTCCTATCAGCTTTAAGCTGCAAGGCAGAAAAGCCAATTGTTGTTCATTCAACAAAAAAGTGTAGTAATCGCGTTAAAATTAAATGCAAACCCTCCTCCGCCTCTGAAAGACTAGAAGATGAGTCCCGATGGGTATTCATCAGCAGAGTGGCAAATTCAATCTTCAGAAGCGAAGAACCATGCTATATATTTCATTAAACAACAACTGTCATACCACCAGGAGGAACAATTGCAAGAGCCAAAGCATTACTTTCTTCCAACTCTAGAGCTTTCGGATTTATTTCATTCAGACCCTACAAAAAATGGACGAACATGTGATCCATTCTTGCTAAACCAGTAACTCAAACGAGTGCATTCCAGACTAATAAAACATACCAGCAAGTCATCAGTACCATCAGTTGATATCAATGGAGGCAGCTCTACCTCCTCTTCCTTTACTTCTTTTTCTTCAACCATTTCTTCTGTTTTAATCTCACTCACTTCTACGGCATGTTTCTCACTTTCTTCGGGTTCTGGTTCTTCATTCCCAGGTGATTGATCAGTTTCCGGACACTCCTGATGTCAAATGCCTCTAATTAATTAACTAATATATGTATCCACGTATCTCTCTACACACACACTCTCTCTCTCTCTCACACACCCACACCCCCACCCCACTACCAACAAATCGGTATGATTGGTGGAGAGTTTTGACTGAAAGAAAGTCACCGAATGAAGAGTGGTAGATCGTAGCCACCAAAGTGTGAGCTTTTCAAGTGCAACCGATTGACAGGGGCTAAATATTTTGTGAAGTCATAAATGAGTTAGTTTACAAATCCCATAATTATTTTTCTGATGACGGTTTCCTACCAGATTTTGGTGCCAACAATACATGATTGAGGTATGCTAAACCATTTTACGTTGATGAAGTGAAAAATTTTTTCGTTACATATTCAAAAATTAAAGTTAGGAAGTTTAAATATGTCTTATGAAAATACAACACTGATTTTTTTGATTCTATCTTTTCTTTTTTGTCTTAGTCCACACTTTATATCTATACATGAACCAAATCTATAGGAAGTCACATGATTCATAAGCCTTTGGTTAATTTTAGTCTTAATTCAATATGGGATAAGGGAAATAACATCACCACAGGCTCAGGTTTGGAGAAACGTACTAAAACAGCCAGTAAGTGTAAAGGGGATGGAACGAGGTCCAATTGAGTGGGAAGTGGGAACGAGGAGAGAAAAACCCACTTCAATATGCCTCGTTGCCAACCCTGAGAGCATCCTCAGAAATCAGCAACCCACTCGCGGAGTTGCAGATTTTCCTCACCTTGAGGGAGTGGCTTAAGCTGTACAGGCCATATTGCACAAGTCCTATAGATTGCACTCTTAGAGAGACAGATCTGAATTGCATGTTCAGGTTTAGCATTTTACTAGATATGCAGAGAAATACTTTCCTGTCAATTGGAGTTCGTAGACGAATATAGAAGCATTCATATATACACATATACGTTGTCCAAATAATTTTTTATATCGCTTCTACTCACCAGTTCCTTAACGGAAGAGCCAGCCTGGGGTGCTTCTTTTAAGTAATCTTCCATTGTGGCAAGAAATGATGGGGGTGGCTACTTATTGAAGAAAAGAGCTCCATGAGAAAGTATTTAATGGTATCAAATAAGATATTATTATGACAAAAAAGAAAACCTGTCTTAGTGCCGGAAACTGGAAATTCCTAGCAAGGTCCAAGCCCTTGCAATACTCATACAAGTCAGCCAGATGTTTAGCCTGTATGATAAGAAAAGTTGACCATCAGTGCAACCAAGTATGCCTTTTGAAGGGATTACATATAGGGCGCACGATTGAATTCATATTGAACAGCAACAAAAAGCGTCTTTGAAGAAAGCATCATTTTAAACCTGCTGGCCGGCTCTTTTGTATATGTTCAAGGCCTTAAATGCATCATGTCTAGACATATCGAAGAACTGCATCATGGTAGGGATAACGTTGATAATTAGCAGTAACCAACTAAAATTAAGCTCAAGAGATCAAAGTATCACATTAAACCAAAGTTTACCACGTCCACGAGATTTATAATTCCGTCATTGACTGCACAATACACTTTGAAGCTCTCTTTCAATACCTAAGTGGCATTGCCAAATACCAGAAAAACAAAAAGGAAGAGGGAAAATCAGATGACTAAGTAGAGATGTCATCATATAAGAGAAGTGAAAGAAATTCATAAATTTTTTTAATTACAATAAAAGATGTGCAGAAGTCCATGATGATAGCAATTCTACCGTCTGATTCGATATCTTAGAAAAATCTCTGATCTTCAGTGATCTGAAGAGCCATTTTTAAACGAGAGCTTTTGAAGAATGAGGAGTATTAATGTTTTTAAAAAGATTATAGTGAAACCATTCCCCCATTTAACGACTTAAGCTTTCTAGTTGAAATAATTCTTGACAGGTGTTAAAAAAACTGTGCTGTCAAATGTTTAATCGATCATTGTTGTCCCCTGTTTTAATTAAAATTGAGTTTTAGCACAACATAGTTGGAATTCCTGTTGTCTACACTTCATACATAAAGTCCAAAAGGCTTTACGCGAGGGGACACATCAATGATGTTTATATTACTGTTCATAAAGCTTTACTTCTCTTTTACTATTTCGAGTTAAAACGATTCCCCATATTATCTCATGAATATAAATGCCAAATCATTCTTCTTTTTCCAATATATCAGTTTTATTATGCATACAACTTCTCAGAGGCTAAGGAATCCGATATTCCCGCATATGAGCTTTAATTCTCCCTCAGTTTCAAGAAACTTTCTGAAGTCATGCAGCATAGAACTAGTGAAGTATGAACGACAATTACAATACATTCGTACCAGGGCCAGCGCATACTGGATGAGATAATTGTAACAAGATGCTCCTTCAGGCTGCGGGGTAATAAAGCATATAAAAAATCATTCTAAGAAAAAGACTGTGATATGACAAAACAATTACAAGCATCAAGTTGCCAAACATGAGTTTCACCTGACAACCAGTAAGACGGTGAACAAGCTGCTGCAGGGCAGGTAGCTGCTCCAACAGCTCATCACAAGCCAACATCCGGGTTCTGCTATGTGTCTGTCAAAGCTAAAGTCTGATATTCTAAACATGGTAATAAAACAAATGGAAACATTAACTTACAGTTTCAAACAAGGGGAAGCACACACCTTAGTCCCAGATGGTGATTTTGTTAGGCGCTCTGACTCGACGTCATATCTTAAGACTCTAAAACATTCTAGTCTCTCTTCTAAATATAGTGCATATGCTCGAACCCATGCAGAACAATCCCAAGCTGCATAGAGTCTGGTTAGGCATGAAATGCAGCAACATTCATACACAAAAAAGCGTCTAGACGAGCCTATAGGGAAGAAAAGTTACTTATTCAATTTTCAGAACTAATTTACCTAGAGGGCTTGAGTCATCTTTGAAATTGGAAATTTGGAAAATATTTCCCCTGCGGCAGAAGCTTTCAAGCTCTTCCCTGAAGGTAGGATCGCCCTCTCTCAAAGTCCTATGAATGACTATTAGAGTCTTTACAGCAACCTTTGACATCATTATTCAGTCAAGCCGAAGTAAGTTTCAAGAAAAGGTTAAAAAATCACAGTTAATTAGAAATATATGATCCTATTGAAATTACAAGAGTATACATTTCCTTCATATTTTTGAATGGTTTGTTGTACCTAAGAACTGTTTAGCCCCTATCCATCCCTTTGCACATATCAATTGTTCGGGAAGGACATTGAACCACAATTCATATTGTACATTTTGAATGTGAATAATCGAATGAGTTCAACTCTTAATTTTTACCTTGTCAGCCAATATTTGCGCATAAAAAGAAAAGCAGGGGTATCAATTCTGTCACCAACTTATTCAGAGACTTTCTATAATTTTCTATATTATATAAAAGATTTTAAGCGAAAAATGATTTACTATCCAACTTTTAGTCTTGGACAATCTCCTCGCAAGTGCGTGAATGCAATATGCCACATCTGCCCGCGGCTGGTGTGCCGACGTCGCGTAGAATATTTCTGTATAGAGTTCAAGGCGGAGCCGAGAGACACAAAGATCAAAAGAAAAGAGGTTAGAAACAAATGAAAATGAATTATTGCAATGAAAAACCAATCCAATTTCTCCTCTAAGTTGGCATTATGATAACGAGTAATTCACTGTTCGAATCGGAGTCAATAGAAAAGAAAATATGCACAGATTGATTAAACTTAACTCTAAAAAATGATCCGTCGATTCAATGAAACAAATTGTGCGATAATGCATGCAATATTAAAGACGAAAGCTTATAATCGTATTCGAAAATTACGACACATTAAGAGAACGAGGTATATAAACTCACTTCGAACATGACGTTCCTTAGGAGGATATTCTACGTGACTGGTAGCCTTTACAATTGCAATATCCAAATCCTTCAACAAGAAGATGAAGCAGGATCAAAACATTAGACGGATGAAAGGAAAAGAAAAATTTAGAACAAATCGAAAATTGAGCTATAGGAAGTTTTACAACTAATGGAGCGTGAGATGTGGGGAACTCACCTTGTATTCGCTGTTGACCTTTGCAAGGCCGACCATGGTGGAGTCCTTGAGAGCCCCATAGGCTTTTCTGAAGCTCTTAAACGTCCCCATTCATAAACTGTGATTGCAATGGAGGGAGAGAAAGAAGAAGGAACAACGTGCTTCTTCTTCTTCTGCTTCTGTAAGCCTGTCGTTTTCAATGACGAAAACGACTCCAGTTTCCTCAAAATGTGCCCAGGCGCAACGTGAAGGAACATAGTAATAGAAGGGCAAATTGGTAGTTTCATGCTGTCTGCCACGTAACTAATTTCTGAAATTTCACAACGGAACGGGAATTGAGTTAACGGACGAATTATGATTCCATACAAAGGCCATTGTTAAATTAATTCTCTTATCTTTAATCTTTAATTAATTTTATTATCAGGCCAAAAAACATAATACATTTGAAAACATAACTTTTTTAACTACAGAAGAACCTTTGGATGGTCGAAAAGAAAGTTTTAATTCATGAATTATCTTTATCGTTGGCCCAAAAAAAAAATTATCTTCATCATTACAATTAAAATCATGGGACTTTCTTTTCAATTACAGAGATATTTTCATGTGTATATTAAGTTTAAAATGAGTTACATCATTCACATTTATGAATAGTATGACTTATTGTAATTCATCAAAAGAATACTGTTTATTATATATTTTATATTGACCTAATTATCAAGATATTAAATTTCAATAATTCAATATGATTTATCCTATTTTTCTGTAATAATTTTAAGAATAATATATATGAAAGTAAAATAAATCGTCCTTTGTTTTTTTTTAATTATAGAGATACTCCTCCGGTCCTAATTATAAGACCCAATTGACTTATTTGAGGAGATTAAGGAAGTAAGTTAAGTTGGTTATTTATAATAAATAAGTGTTGTCATTCCTAAAATATCCTTGCTAATTAAGTATATTGGCTAAAACTATCATTATTAGAAGGATTATCTTGGAAAAAAATGCATAAATATAAGAGACAAAATAGATTGGGTCTTATAATTAGGACCAAATAAAAAGTCAAATTGGGTCTTATAATAAGGACCGGAGGAGTATCTATGTTTTCAAAACCGACCCTTAGTCCAAATTTTATTCAATGAAATAATGTTAAAACTTTAAAATAATTTATATATCTACATAATTTTATTGACTATCCTATTTGTTAAAGAATTTTTTCTTTTGGCATATAGTTAAAAAATTAAAGTATCCTGGATAAATGCTATAAGAGACATTCTATTTTTCTCTCTTAAGTCCTAATAAAGTTTGTTAACTACTTATACACAAATTACAAAATGAATAACAACTTGTTTTAAAAATTTAAAACACTTGCCACTCATATCAATTAGTTATATTATATGTATATACTACTTCCGGTCCTTAATATAAAAAATAGTTGACTAATTTGAGCAGATTAAAAAAATTAGTTAAATTAGTTATTTGTAATAAATATGTGTTATTTTTTTTTAAAGTATCCTTGATCATCAAATATATTGGCTAGAACTACTATTATTATAAGAATTACCTTGAAAAAAAAAAAGAAAAAAACATAAGAGACAAAGTAGATTAAGATCTTATATTTAGGACCAAAATAAAAGTTAAACAAACTCTTATATTAAGAAGTGGAGATAGTATATAAAGTTTTGTTTAATATTTTTCAAAAATTATTTGATTAATTTTACTATATAAACTCACTATAAAGGTTAATATCAGCTTAAGTGTTTTTATTATACTCTCTACAAAAAAGATAATTTAAAAGGTTCAATAAAAAGAAAATAATTTTAATAAATTAATTAAAAATCTGATGAAACTAAAGGATTGGCTAAGATTAATTTTTCCAACTCTAAAAAGATCAAAATGAAAATATTTTTGTTGGTTAAAAAATGAAAATATTTCTAGTGCTTGGAACGAATATGCCCCACTTGTTTGTTTGTTTAACATTGTCGATACTATTCCTCAACTAAATCATTCCGAGCCCAGAGACCGTTTAGCTGTGTTCTATCGGACCTCCATTTCCACGGATAGGGTTTCTTCCCCTGCAAATCTAACTTCTGCGAAATTGCTTCAATCAATCCGATACAATGGCGATGAGGAATTTCTACAACGAGATCAAAGGTAAAAAGGTGACGGAGATTCCCAACCATGTGAAGCCGTTGCTTTCCTTTGACTATATCAAGAATGCTGTTAAGAGAGGCTTGGACAACTATAGCGCCAAGTACATCGAGACCGACTCCATTACTCCTCTCTACCATGTATGCTTTGGGGGCATGATCTTCTCCTACCTTGTCGCGCTCCCCCACGAGCGCCGTCACCTGGAGCACCAGCAGCATGCTAAGGAACATGGCCATGGCGGCCACTAATTTCTCCATCATCGATATTTCAGGTGCCCATCTTAATTAAACTCTCATTCTGATTGATTGGGATATTTTAGAAAGTTACATTTCATCAGAGGCTTTTCTTAATTTTGATTGTTGAGTGCCATTAGATCTGGAATTTTGCAATTTTGTGTCATTTGCTTAGCGTTGATGTATGTCTTTGAGCTTTCATTGATAAGTGGTTTTTTCACGTTTTGTCCATTGAGAAGAGTTTAAATGGGTTTCATTTCTGGGGGAATGTACTGGCTGATAATGCTGTTAAATTTATTCGGCCCTTTGAGATGAAGTGGTAAACCTATTTTCTGCGTCTAAATCCCGTCTGATCCTAGCAGATGAGGCCCAGTAGAGCTGCCTTCCTAGTTTGATCTCTGGCAGATGAGGCATTTATCAATTAAATCTCTCATAGTTTACTCAATTTGGTTCTTGCCAGCTGAAGTCATTGTTATCGGCATCCTTCTGTCAATCTAAATCTGTTAATAACCATCTTAACAGTGAATCTATTATCAATTTATATGATATAAAATAGTAGCAGCTAAGGGTAAATTAAAATATTTATATCATTGTATCTCCTATTTTGTTAATTTCTTGTATGCTAGACTAGCTGAAAAATATTATTGGTAATGGCTTTTTTTGTGAGGGAACAAATTGAGTAATACCCATGTTTGAAGAACCAAGTTGAGAACGTAATTCTTTAAGGCATCAAATTGAGAAATAATTTGTCTGTGAGGGACCAAAGTTGAGTTTTAGTCTGTTTTTTTGCTTAGTGGATTTGGTTTTGGCGATAAAATTCTGGTTATCATGGGACTGTGATTGACTTGGTCGGGAAGCAAGTGTTGTTTTTGTGGATGTGAACAGACTTGAACTTAACTATTGATGAGGGGGAAAAAATAGTACATGTTTATGCAGCTGTTTTTGATCCAATAACTCATGTTATATATTCTCAAGGTGAAAATTAGTTTGTGTGTGGTTGATAAAGCACGATAGATGCTACACTAGAATCATTATAGATATTTTAAAGGTTTGATTTTTAATTGCAGTAGAAAACCCCCTTGAATTAGTTGAAAATGTTGCGAGTTCTATCTTTTTAATTCATGTTAAGTGAATTTTCTATGAGGCTTTATGTTTGGCTGATCATGCATGCGTTGTCTATGCATTCCTCAACAGTACACTGATGATGTTATGTTTTCACCAATCTGTGATACGCTGCTCTCTCATTCTTTACGCCAGGCATGATTAAATTCGCCATATGGTTTTTGTTTGGCTGTTTAATAAATACAAAGTTCGTAGCTTATACAGCCTTAGACTATTTTAACCGCTTTTAATTGTCTTGCGTCCTGTTGAAGTTAGACTTGCAGGTTAACAGTGTCTTAAGCCCTCTGTTAAACTGATTTCAATTTTATTATTCTAATTTAAGCCCCTTCAGCATTGATCAAGTAATGACCTTCTGCGTGCAGCCAAACCACTTCAGCAAACTTTCAATTAGTATAAACTGGACCGGGCGACCAACTTCTACAGTATTTTTTTCCACCTGACATTCTGTTGCAGCTTTCAGAATACTCTTTTAGAGGCATTATCTTCAATATGTTTCAAATAGGCCATAAAGTACCCAATAATCCATAATTTAGAATCTTTCTTGTGAATGAAATGTGACAAACCCTCCATATGATCTATAAATAAATACTACCTCACAAGTAACTTATAAGTTTTCTTTTTTTGGCTAGCTGCTGCTTGTATCTGATTAACCAAATAACCTAAAATGTTTGGCAAATCAGAACATCGTGTGGAAATTTTATCGTTCCCGGAGATACAGGTTAACTAACTTCTTTGAATTTCTTGTCTATTTAAATATCCATATTTATGTCCTAGGTAAATAGATATATTCTGGAGCTTAAGTCTTCCCGCCTTACTATATGGGTTTGCATTCTCATTTCTCTTGGCCCCCTCCCCACAAACAACACCTCTCAAATCCTCTGCTGTTGTTTAGTATGTGAAGGTTTAGTTTTTCAAATACTTGCAACTGTTTGAGCATGTATTTTCGTCTTCAACCATATATGTTTTTTCACATTTTTTCTTCTGATGACACCTGTGCCCACATTTTTTCCATATTAGGTTTTCAAATCTTTGGAATTCCCTCACAATAAATGCCACCTCAATGCTTTCCCCCGCCGTTACGCTTGTTTTGGCGGTCGATAGATGATGTTTTCCTTCTGATGACAGGATCCTGGTCGGTGAACTGGAGGTGGCCTTTTGACTGATCCTGTTCTTTTAAAGTTATGTGAATGATGAAGGCAGAATATACTGTTACATAAAATAATGTCAATTTGATGCAATACTCAATTTTCTTGCATTTTAATTTCTGTTATGAGAAATGCGTTGTTTAGTGTTCTTGTGATCCAGTTCAGCTAACATTGATTAAGAAAATTTACAATGTTGAAAGAAGGAAATACGCCATGTTTCCTACAATCTAACTGTGAATTTAAAGCTAAAATGCTTCTAGCCATCTGCACTTGGACTTCGTCCATTATTGGGGCTGTCTGTGTCTTAATAAAGCGCTTCTTAACAAACGGTTGAAGGTTCATATTCATAAAACCTGTGTCATGTATTCGAAGTGAGTGGAAGTCAAATCTTCAGCATTTTCTATATGAAACTAGAAAACTTTGGTTGGGTGAGCTATGTACCTCGGACTCGAAAATATTCGATTATGAGTTTAGTTGATATACTTACTGCATTTCGACTATTTAATAATTTAGTCATTACAAGTTTTTATTTTTTATAACTTTGAATTTGAATTTGAATGCATATGCACCATCGTGACAATGTCATGGCATCCTCTCCTGTCGACGGTAACGGAATGATTATATTTTGAGTTTTTGCCAATTAAAAACGGATTGAATTAAATACAAGTTTTGTACAAATTTTGAGGAAATCACTAGTTTTTTCTTAAAAAATGAAAATTCATATGTCGTTAATGATTAAATACTAACTAAAGTGATCAAGAAAGTTTATCTTTTTTCAACCAAAAAAAAATACAAATAATTTTTCCGAGTTTATGAGTTGTACTTGTATAGCTTGTTTTCGGCTTTTTTTTTTCCGGGTAACATCTTTTTTTAGGGAGAATTGCAATTAGGTCCCACTCAAGGAAATTAAATATAAAAAGGTCTTTTGAAATCATGAAATTGTTCTGAAGTTCTAAGAGACTTTTTTATAATAAATTTTATTTATTTAATTATCAAATTAACCTTCTTTTTTCTTTTTTTTTTTAGTTTGCATTGACAACTCAAAGAACAGTGATTGACAACTCAGGGTGTAAGGATTGACAACTATTGCGGCTAGTTTGACAACGCATTTTCTCAGCATATCACACTCTAAGTTGTCAAACAGCCGCGATAGTTGTCAATCCTTGCACCCTGAGTTGTCAACCACTGCTCTTTCAGTTATCAATGTAAACTTAAAAAAAAAAGAAGGGTAATTTGGTAATTAAACAAATAAAATTTATTGCAAAAATTTTTTTGGGACTTTAAAATAATTTCATGATTTCAAGAGATCTTTTTGTATTTACCTTGGGTGGGACCTAATTGCAATTTTTCCTTTTTTTTATTATCAAATTTAAAGTCCTATTTTTCATTTTAGTCAGTATAATTCTTCCATCAGTTTTTCGGCAAATATCTTAATAAAATGTGTGCACGTTAGTTTTTTTTTTTTTTGGCTTGAATATTTTCACTCTATTTGGAATGTTTTTTGGGTCTCTTTCTCCATGCTTGATAAGTAGGGTCCTCCGCCCCTGCATCACGTCAAGAATTTTGTGTAAAAACGGGTACGACACTAGGACGAAAGTTTTAAGCAAAACAACTAACCAAAAAAAAAAATCTATTTGCACCAAAATAGAGTATGAATATTCATGGTAAATTTTGAAAACTGATTAGGGAAATTGCTTTCTGTTACAACTTTCTCAATTGTTTCTTGTCCAAAATTTCTCAACATTCGATGCGAACATTTTTTTTTTTTCAATTACTTAATATCAAATTAATTTTTTTAATAAAAGCTTTATCTACATAATAGTGTATTTTATATTTTAATACGTAAATTAATAACAAACATGTGAAATTTTATCCAAAAAAAATAATATCCTAGTTAGAAACTGTACCAAAATCTTGCAATTCTTTTGAATTCTACCCGACTTCTCTCTCTCCACAGTTCATGCGCACGGCATGCCACTAACTTTCAAAGGAATGAATAAATAAAATTAAAAAGAAAATAACGAAAAGAAGTGCGTGACTGTGATAAAATCGTGATTCAAATATCAGTTAACCGACCTGTTCATTTCCCGCCCTATATATTGAGTTCTTTACTCACTGAGTTCTTCACATTTCAATTATCTCTCGCCTTCCCCCTCTTTCTCTACATTTCAGCATTTCATTTAACTTTTCGTCCAGAGAGCGGAGAGATGCTTGCCACGCTTAAGTTCGTTCTCTTTCTCTGAAACTGATTCGTTTGTTCTTGATTTAAGTTTTGATTCAACTGAATTTGATCGCTGGTGAATGTTCTGTAATCTGACTATTTCCAGATCCGAAGAATCGAGCCAACTGCAGCTCGTCGAACGAGAAGACGTTGAGGATGAAGAAGACCTCTTCGAAGCCGTTGACAAATGTAAATCTAGAACATCATATCCTGTTACTTTTCTCATTATTTTCTATATTCATTCGGTGAAGTGCTCTTTCTGTGTCTGTGCTCTAAATCGATCCACTACTTCACTTTGATTTCACGTCAATACTTCATTATTTAATCGCTCTGTTTATTCAGTTTCTGCGTTTTCGATCGCACGATCTCTGTTTCAAGTGGTTTTCTGATCTATAAAGATGTGTGTTGTCTTTTTTATACAGTGGTTGCTCAAGGTATTAATGCCGGAGATGTAAAGAAGCTTCAGGACGCAGGAATATATACCTGCAATGGCTTGATGATGCACACAAAGAAGGTTTAATATAGTTCCTGACTAATAATACCTACGTTATTTGCTAAATTTTAGTCTAATAATAACAAAACCCTTCCAATTTATATTTTATTTAGCTCTCAATATGTCTTGGACTTTTAAGTAATAAATGATTCTATTCCATAGAATCTGACCGGTATCAAAGGTTTATCGGAGGCAAAAGTCGACAAGATCTGTGAAGCTGCTGAGAAAATCGTGGTCAGTGCATATTCAACTAGATATGCATTTTTACTGTTCGACTTGTGATTTGATCTTCTATTCTTTTTCCCTCTTGATCCAGAATTTTGGTTATATTACTGGAAGTGATGTGCTGCTCAAAGTAAGTTGTTGGCCTTTTCCATTTCAATTTTGGCTCTGTTCTGCTCTGGAAATTCTTGCAGCGTAATTCAATTTTTGTCTGCTAATCTGTTACAGAGAAAGAGCGTAGTTCGGATTACAACTGGGAGCCAAGCGCTCGATGAATTATTAGGAGGTAGTTTTGCAAAGTGAAATTCTCCTGTGCTCTCTGTTTGACTACTTACAAACTTTCTATGCTTGTATGTGACAACTATTTTAAAATTGATAGGCGGAATTGAAACACTGGCGATTACAGAAGCGTTTGGGGAATTCCGGTGGGAACATAGTGCATATCCAGTTTCAGACAACTTTAGTGGCTATCCAATTTCGAAGCAGTCCGTTTTAACGTTTATATATAATGATGTTTCAGGTCAGGAAAAACGCAGCTTGCTCATACTCTCTGCGTTTCCACTCAGGTTGAGTCCCTGCCTTCATTACATGATGCGTGTTGCCATGTTGACGTGCTATCGATGTGAGATTATAATATTAAATAAGCAGGCTGGAGCTTTATGACTGTTGAGCGAGTGAACAGAGAGGAGCTTCGATTAAAACTAAAATGCATTGGTGCTTTAAGAAACTGGATCTTAAATGTGTGTACTTGAATTATGCCAAATATCTCAGATTCTAAGCCTAGGGAGCTTCTCAAACACCAGTTTTTTCAACAAAAAAAAAAATTGTGGATGCGTTACTAAACTTTTTTTGCTTTTTTCCCCCTTGCACAGTGACATAATTGATGCGTAAAAGGTTCGCATAAACTTAAATAAATTGGCTGACGCATGCTGTTTTTCCTTCGTTCATAATATGTTGTTGATCCAGCTTCCTACTAGCATGCGTGGAGGTAATGGAAAAGTTGCTTACATTGACACAGAAGGAACTTTGTATCCTCTTTCACATCTCAGTCGAAAACCAAGAACTCTTGAAAATCTTGCGATTGTGTTTTCAAACTATAATTGCCCAAATATTCTGTTTCTTTTATTGGCTATTCGGTTTTTCTGTTTTCGTCTTAACTTCAGAACTTAATAGCCGTCCCGACCGAATTGTTCCCATAGCTGAGAGATTTGGCATGGATCCGGGGGCTGTACTAGACAATGTAAGTTTCCTCTATTTCGTATACCATATAGGGATTCTGAGGCAAATACTGTTGCTGACAGCTAATTATATGTATGTTCTCATGACTGCGCAAGATTATCTATGCTCGCGCATATACATACGAGCACCAGTACAACCTTCTTCTCGGTCTGGCAGCTAAAATGTCCGAAGAACCATTCAGACTTCTGGTGAGTTTTGACTGGGAGTTGTCTTAATAAAATTAAAATATCGAGAGGGCTGACACAAGTAGTATTTTGCAGATAGTGGATTCTATCATTGCACTATTTCGGGTGGACTTCTCAGGCAGAGGAGAGCTGGCAGAGCGCCAAGTCAGTCCCTAACTGCACATACTTGATAATCGATATAACAGTTCTTCTATAATATATATGTCAATTTTGTTTGCAATTACCATTTTTCAGCAAAGACTTGCTCAGATGCTTTCTCGAATAACTAAGATAGCCGAGGAATTCAATGTTGCAGTTTATATGACAAATCAAGGTAACTTGACTTGTCCTATGAATTTTCTCGTACTGCTACATTTTTTTTTTTGGCTTTTGTTCTCAGCCTTAACTCCGCAATCATGAATTTTGGTTGCAGTTATAGCTGACCCAGGAGGTGGGGTGTTTGTGACTGATCCAAAGAAACCTGCCGGAGGGCATGTACTAGCTCATGCCGCCACAATAAGGTTGATGTTCAGGAAAGGGAAAGGCGAACAGCGCGTTTGCAAAGTCTTTGACGCCCCAAATCTGCCGGAGGCTGAAGCAATATCCTTAACCAAGGGCTTATGAGTCGTTCAAAATAACTCATTGGTTGGCTGAATTGGCATTTGACTAGGAGTTTCTGTTTATTAATTCCTCTTAAATCGCTTGATTTAAACTAAGAACTTCCGTTAACAATTTGTGATAACATAATCCAAATTAATCAACAACCTTACAAATGAAGCTTAGATGCGGAAAAGTGCCGCCATTGACTGGAAATTTTGTTGAGAATGTAGTTGGTAATAACGAAAGAGTTACTTAGTTCTATTGTTCGCCTGTTCTTCTTGACTGTGTCACGTGTTTCAGATAACCCCAGGGGGCATTGCAGACGTAAAGGACTGAACACATCCTTCAGAGGGTTTTTCGCCAACGCCAGAGTTACAGTCACAAACAATACTTTATCTTAGTTTCACCGTTAAGATTAATCTTCCTACTATATTGTTAGTCTGGTACTAAATGGTCAGTTGCTTGTCAACGTTATCGGCTATCAAGCCAACTTTGCTTTTACATACATATAACATAGTCCTTTTCTGAACGCAAGATGTATATGTCAATTTGCTTTTTTTTTTTTTTTTTTTTGGTGAAATGAATTTTTTGTTTTCTTCGGCGAACATAATGGGCGACTAAGTCTAGGAAGCTAAACCATCAGGCAAAGCCCACTATTGTGAAAACTGGGCCCTGTTGTTGCTGGCACAAGCAGGAGTTAACGAGTCCATGAAATATCTGTCCCCGGTGTTCATTAGAAAGAAGCAGTGGTTTGTACCCAAAAAAAAGAAGAGGAGGAAAATAAGTAATGGTTAACAGGATTGTTATCCACTAAATGAAAATCAGAAAATGTGAACTAGGCAAGGACTAAAAGCCGAAGCAAACAAGATCGTCAAAAGTTATAATATTTTTGAGGAAGGCCATCATAGAACTAAAAGCCAAAGCAAACAAGATCATACAAAGATGGATTTATTGGGGAGGGCGTTCATATATTTTCTGTTTTGAGGCAAAGAAGGATCAGTCGCGCATTGATTTTATTCCCCCCATTCCTTTTTGGATCGAATTTGACGCCATGCATTCACGCAAGATGTTATATAGGGCAATGCTTAACAGTGGAAAAAATGGTGGTAATCTCTCACTGATGGTTTGCGTGAAATTCCATGAATAATAGCACCAAAATTCTTTAAGTTCTATAATGTCAATAACTTTTACTGAAATTGTTGGTGTTTATGAATTTTCAAAATACGTGACTTATGTTTTTAGAAGTTAAGTTTTGTTTGACATTTCTATTAGTATTATTTTTTTAGTTTCCAATAGATCACAGTTCTTTTAATCAATAGATCCAAACAAAATGGCTCTCATGTTGTCCCTTATTTTGCCCAAAAATCATGATTCTTATATTTCCAATGTATTTAGAACGCAAGTCTTCCATTAATTGAAATTTCAAATTCAACATACAAAATACAATATTTCCCTGAACTTTCTTTTGAAGTGACTCTCTTAATTTATAATCAATTCTATCACTATCTTACATGCAATGAAGATTAAATCTTTTTTGTCCAATCAAAATCTCAAATATGACAAAATTAGGGAATTATTTTATTTTATATAGGAGTCACAAGAATTACACATACTATTTTTTTTTGGTTTGAAAACATAATACTACCTTGGTCCTTAATATAAAAATCAGTTGACTAATTTGAGTATATTAAAAAAAAACTAGTTAAGTTAGTTATTTATAATAAATATGTGTTATTTTTAAAAAAATATTCTTACTAATCAAGTGTATTGATTAGAACAACTATTATTATAAGGACTATCTTAGAAATAAATAGATAAATATAAGAGACAAAATATATTAGAATTTTATATTTGAGACTAAAATAAAAATGGTAGTCTTGAATGCGTTAAAAACACATCATTTATACTTCATCCATGTACATGAGTGCATTTAATAGTTGGCAATTTTCAAAAGCATCAAAATGAGACACAAATCATCCCTTGTCCTCAAATTTTGTTGTGAGGATCCCCAAAAGAGGAACAAAAGAAGTCCAAGTTAGTGGCTCAAGAAGTGAACAAAACCCTAATAATGCAGAACACTTCTGCGAGCTACCTAGCTCTAAAACCCTAAGCCTCACACTCATTCTTTTTCACCCCACTGCATGGTAAAACACCCAAAAAAAAAAAAACAAAATGGATGACTTTCAAATCACCCCAAAAAAGAGGAACAATGAATAATAAAAAGAAGAGAAATGATGGAGGGTTGTACGTGTCATGGTATCTGTGTTGGATTTGGAGGGCCCTGAAGATGTAAATAAAGTAAACAAAAAAAGGTGGTGATGTAGGGTAACAGGGAAAGTGAATTAAGTGATGAACACATTAATATATAGGACCATGATTTGCACCCATTCCACACACAATCACTCTTCAATTTCCCTCCGGTCAGATTCATGACGGTGAGATATGTTTGTGTGTATATATCATACGCTGGTCTCCATCACAACTATCATTTACTTTAACAAAAGTAGAAAACATACTCAATACTGTGGACAATATAAGTTACTTCTAGAGTGATGGCTTAAAATCACTTGAAAGTGACTAATGCTTGTCTGTCAATTTGTCTTCTTTTTTTTTTCATCCTCAATCTCATTTAATATGAATAAAAGTTGGAAAAAAATTTCAATTTAGAAAATGAGTTAACTATCATTTTTTGATATTAATAAATTAGTTAAAATGATTTATATTATGTACTGAATTGAGTATATAAATACTCTCTTCAATTTAGTTAAACCTTCTCGCAAACCCAAAAATATTAGTTAAGTCATTAAATATGTTTTAAATTGATAAAAGTTACCTATTTTCTCCCTTGCATTGAAACTTCAAAGTTCTCTCTTCTCCTTATAATACGGTGTAAAGTAAAAGTAGAAAACTATTATTAATTACATTGTCAATTCCGAATTTTTTTTTTTAAACCGCTTCTGAATTGGAGGGAGTAATACATTATAGCTCAACAATAGTGAGATCCTGCTTTATGTCATTTATTCCTGATACCTATATGGCAACTCAATATGAAAAGTGGCTGGCCAAAGATGACAGGTTTCACGAACGAGGGTGTAGTTAGCCTCTTTCTTTTCCCCCCTTGTTCTTTGTCATCAGATTTGATTCTTGTTTTTAAAAGTCATATATGATCGATTTTAATCAGGCGGGAATGACAGATATATATATATATATAGAGAGAGTGTGTGTGTGTAAATATTATTCAATACAGCTATTAATTAATCTCGACAATCTCCACTGTGAGTAGGGGTGAAAATAGCTAGGCGGCCTGTCAGGGGCATGTGGCTGGCCTATTTAACTATCAGAACAGGCTCAGACCTGTAAAAGGGCCTGTTTATCTTATCAGGCTAGCTCAGGCCTGACAATAAATCTGTTAAGCCTGTCAGGCGGCCTGGGCCTGTTATTTTTTTTTTTGAGGTTAAAATTGTAAATTCACATGTGTTAGAAATTTAACCTAGGTCACTGCTCCCATTTCTTATTCGGCTGATTCCCTTCTTCCCTTCTTGCCTTCTCTAGTTGGCGCTCGGCAAATAGCAAACGTCAAAACTTAGAAGGTAGTCGGCAGTGGTGCACAGGCTCTTAGCGGCACATTCAGGTACTCAGTAGCTAGTCGCACATGCTTTCCTTCTTCCCTTCGTCTTCCATTTTGTTCTTCGCTTGATTGCTTTTGCAATAGGTAGATTCAAGTTGACGCTCTGCTGCCTCTGCATTTTGATTCCGTCATATATATATATATATATATATAGTCAAGCTCTGTCTATTGATTCTTTCATTTCTGGATTGAGAATACTGAATGTTGCAGCCTGATCGTTGGTTCTAATTTGCTGACGCCGTGCAAAGACCCCAAGTGTTGTAGCCCTCATTTGTTCACAGATTTGTCTCCTGAAGCTCTCACATTCAGAAGTATGTGTTTATGTGTATACAAGTTATACTTGAGTCAAAATAATTTCCGCTGGTAGTTTAACCCTCAACTGCCTCAAAACTCAATTCTTTCTGTAGATGCGATCTTCCTACTGTACTGCAAGTCATTTAACTGCAAGTCATGATTCAGATATGAACTTTTGCAGTTTTCGAGTTCATGTCATACATTTTCATGGATATGCTTGTATTCTTTGTGTTAGAAGGCTATTCCAAAATTGAACGAATAATGATGAGATTTGCATTCCCAACCTTGAAAATTTATCATTGAAACAACGAACAGTATCCTTATGCCTTTTGCAACTCTAAAGTGGCGCAAGTTATTTTCATGTATTGGTTTTTTAATAGATGCTCTTGTCTGTTCTGTATGCCATTATAATTTTTTTTTATTATTTTGATAAAAGTTACTCCTCCGAACCTTGCTAAACATTGGGATCAAAAGGGTCTCTAATTACCCAAACTTTGATTATTCAGTATATTAATTATGGTTTGAAAAAGAAATCAAAGTTACAAATTTTGAATTCTGAAAACAATACCATTTCTTATATTTATTAGTTATTAAATTTTGTTATGATCTAATATATATTTGCTTTCTTCTTCTCAGGTGCTTGAACAAGAAGAAGAAATTGTGTTGAAGATTTAATACTTTGTTGTTTGATGATTTGTTGCAATTGTAACAAGAACAATTGTATTAATTTGATTATTTCATATTTTTCGTTTGGATTTTTGATGATTTGGATTAAGTTATTGTAATTTTAAATTGACTTATATATGTTTACAATTGATTAAAAATACATGCTTTTTAACAGGTCACAGGCTAGGCCAGACCTAATTATAGGCCAGGCTTAGACCAAATAAAAGGCCTTTCACAGGCTACAGGTTAGGCTTAGGCCAATAGGCCTCACCACAGGCCTGGCCTGTTAAGGGTGAGGCCTAACCTGATCTGGTCTGTTTTCATCCTTAGCATATGCGTGTTTATTTATATGTCATGGAGTAAACGACAAACTATTTGGGTTTAAACGCAGAAGGAAGAGGGCAAAAAGTAAAAGAAAGCAAAAGGAATTAATGAACGCTACGAGCAGGGGATCCGTAGAGCGTTACATTTATAACCACAGCAGCTAGGTTCCCCCCCCTCCGGGTCAAACCTAGAGTAGCTAGTTACCCTATACTTACGCTAGATTTGATTAACAATGATGGATGAATAATCCTGGGGTCATTTTCCTGAAAATTAATGTGAAAAAAAAAGCCTGATGATGATGATGCTCGAAGGAATTAATATAGAGTCTTTGACTTGAGTAACTGGCATGTGATGCCCTGTGGAGTCTTGTGATTGATGAAGCCTCCTTCAAAGCTCAAGAACAAAACTTTGCTCACCAGACACGATGCGGATTAATTTATATAGGGGGGGGGGGAGAGAGAGCTGCTCTAGAGTCTAGATAGGGGTTTTGACTTGTCACTATCATATTATAATCATTACACTCAACATTTCAAAGTATTTTTTTTTCCATCTAACACTTTAAAATATTTTGTAATACATCCAATACTCTAAAGTATTTTTTAGAGGCACTCAATATTCTGAAATATTTTTTTTGCCTTTGTACTGGATACACCAAAAAATATTTTTAAGTACTGGAGGCACCTAAAAAAATATTTTGAGATGCTAAATGCATCAAAAAATATTTTATGGTACTGGACACATCTAAAAAAATATTTTAGGATACTGAATATACCACAAAATATTTTAAAGTGCTTAATACATTTAAAAAAAATATTTTAAAGTGTTAGATGCACCTTAACCCTGTAATCATTCATCGTTTCTTTCCGCACTGGTATGATTCACGACGAGTTGTTCGAAATGGTAGTTAAAGCATTTAAAAGCAGTTTGTTTAATGATGCAGTAGCGTGATTCACGAGTATATGATTAAGGGTGTGTTTGGATGAAACCAAACCGTGGTTTGGAAAAGTGATTCTGGAGAATAGATTCTGGAAAAAATAGATTTTGTGAAGAATAGATTTTGTAAAAAAGTGATTCTGAGAAGTGAGAGTGTTTGGATAGTTGTTATCAGAAGCACTTTTTATATATACAAATTACTAAAAAAAAGACATAAGTTAATATGATAATTACAGAAAAATAGATTTTATGATATATTTTAATTTGAAGAAATAAAATTGTTAATAATATGTTTTTTACCAACATAATTAATAATACATAAGATAATATAATTAATAAATAATTAATGTCTATATATATTTATAAAATATAAGATTAAATATATTTATAAAAAAATATGTTTATAAAAAAAATAATAAGATACATATCATATAGGCCCTCACACTCTCCCTTTTTTCTCCAAAAGCAAAAAAATTTTGCTTTTTCCAAAACCATAGTTTTGGTTTTTGGAGAGGCTGTTTGGGTAGCATTTTCCCCAAACCATGGTTTGGGTCCCCAAACCATGGTTTGGGGTGCTATCCAAACAGAGCCTGAATAAAAATAATTGAAAAAAGTTTACAAATAATTAAATTTACAAATTTTTTACTCCCTACAAATTAGTTATTTAGTTTTTATATTAAGGGTAAGAGATAATATATAATAAGAGTTTTATTTCAATTTACATAAAAATATTTATTATTACTTATATTAAACAACTCCAAACAAATATGTTACGTGGTCAAGCATATCTCTCTTATATTATCTGTAATGACATTTTAGTGATGACTCCAAACATGATTAAGTAGAACGCGAATATTTAGCTAATCAGTAGTAATTTATGTTGCTTGTTCAAATTCTTCTGACTTTGGTATGAGACGATTTGTCTGCTCATGCATGATTGTTCGTAATTAATTTAACTAGTTGGCTTTACGCATCGGGAACATATCGATCAAAACCAGCATTTTATTAACTTAATTATATTTTTAATGAAGCCTTCTCTAGAAACAATCAAACTGGAATAGCACATGCATATGGAAAGAATTGGAGGGTTGGGAGATTAACATAAGGAATATAATTTGATGGAAATAATATTAAAAATAATTTCTTCAAAGAAATAGTGAAGACTAAAGTTCATACTCCTCTTGTTTTCAGAGTTTTTGGTCCGCTTCGCGGCATATACTCCACCCCCCCCCCCATGCTACATATACCCCTTAAAACTATATAAATTTAGGATATCCGATATCCGTATAAAATCGCGGAGATAAAATCATTATAATTATAATGAAGACACATACACATCAAAATATGATTATTTTAATCTATTAAAAAATAAATTTAAATTGTTTAGTATTATTTTTGTTAAAATTTAACACTTAAGTACACTTTTATCTCGTCTGGGATACGGAAAACCAAAATGGTAATGCATCTAACGTACTGCCTCATGTTCTTAATATAAAGTCTAGTTGACTAATTTGAAAAGATTAAAAAAAATTATTCAAGTTAGTTATTTGTGATAAATAAGTAGTTTTTCATAGAATACCTTTACTAATAATATGTACTAGCTAAAATTATTATTTGACAGAATCTTTAACATGTGTAACCTACAGAGACTACTTTAGAAAGCTGGATAAATATGAAAAATAAAATAAATTAGAATCTTATATTCAAAAATAAATTAAAAATTAAATAATTTCTTATATTAAGAATCGGAAGTAATATATAATTATATATACATGCTATTTTTAGGGCCTTTTTCTGTCATACTAAATTGTAATTACTAACTAACAAAGAGTTGGGTCTAATAGAAAGGACTAGTTCCTCACAACATGGCAAACCAATATTCGAATTCTCACTAAGAGAGGTGCTCACATTTAATACTTGAGAGTATCTCAAATAGAATTGTCTCTAAAAAAAATTGTAACTACGAATAGGTGTGGTTGGCAAAAAAATAATAATTACAAATTAGTGTGATATTCGTTGCGTAAGTATCTTCGATGCTGACTCATATGTCTTCGACCCCTAGACCTGGGTCACAGAAAAAGAGAGAGAAATAACATATCATTTTGAATTCCTCCCATTTTCTTGTGATCTGGAGACGTAACATTCATTGCGAGCCCAAAAACAAAAAGCAACGAGGCGTATGTGAGGGGTCTTCATTATATTACTATAAAGATCAATTCATTGAGCCTCGCAGAGAGAAAGAAAATATGACAAAGAAAGGCATTATCATCAACTGAGCCTTGTTATAAATCCCGTGTGACTCTCTGAAGTTTATTATTCACTTCTCATCGTTCCCTCCCTCGATCTCTCTCACTTTGTATTCTACCAATGGTGGCCAGGAAAGCCAGGATTGTGATCATAGGAGCTGGAATGGCCGGTCTCACGGCGGCCAATAAGCTCTACACGGCCCCGGGTTCCAGGGACATGTTCGAGCTCTGTGTGGTCGAAGGTGGACCGAGGATTGGAGGCAGAATCAACACATCGGAGTTCGGTGGTGATAGGATTGAAATGGGTGCCACTTGGATTCATGGAATTGGTGGCAGTCCCATTTACAAGATAGCTCAGGAAAATCATTCCTTAGAATCGGACCAGCCATGGGAGTGCATGGATGGCTCTTCCAATGACAACCCTACCACTGTCGCCGAAGGCGGATTCAAGGTTGAACCTTCCGTTGTCGACTCCATCACCAACCTCTTCAACGATCTCATGGACTGCGCTGCTAATAACGGCAAGCTCCCCGAAGCTTCCAAGCTAGTCCCAGGAAGCCAGAGTCTTGGTTCATTTCTCCGGCAAGGTCTCGAAACTTACTGGGCTTCTATGAAAGAACGAGACGAAGAGCTCAAAGGCTATGGAAGCTGGAGTAGGAAGTTACTTGAGGAAGCCATCTTCGCAAGGCATGAGAACATTCAAAGGACTCATACATCTGCTTCTGACCTCATGACTTTGGATTACAAAGCAGAGAGCGAGTACAGAATGTTCCCTGGTGAAGAAATCACCATTGCTAAAGGCTACTTAAGCGTGATCGAATCTCTAGCCTCTGTTTTACCACCTGGGTGTGTCCAATTGGGTCGAAAAGTGAGCAAGATTGAGTGGCTGCCTGAGAGGCAGGACACAAATAATGGGTATTGTTGTTCCATGCCTGTGAAGCTACATTTCTGTGATGGCTCTGTTATGTCTGCTGATCATGTCATTGTCACAGTATCACTTGGAGTTCTAAAAGCTGCAATTCGTAACGAAGATTCAAAATCAGGTATGTTCTACCCTCCTCTACCTTCCTTCAAGACAGGGGCAATCTCAAGGCTTGGTTTTGGTGTGGTTAATAAGTTGTTTCTTCAATTGAGCCAGAAAGAGGATGAACTCTCCAAGGGCTTCCCTTACTTGAAAATGGTGTTCCATCCACCTGATTCTGAGCTTAGGCACAAGAAAATCCCATGGTGGATGAGGAGAACATCTTCACTTTGCCCCATCTACAACAATTCAAGAGTCCTCTTGTCTTGGTTTGTTGGAGAAGAAGCTCTGGCTCTAGAGTCACTTAAAGATGAAGATATCATTAATGGGGTTTCAACGACACTTCAAAGCTTTCTTTCCAATCATGGATTATCCAATGGGAAAGTGAATTCTGAGGAGATTTCTCACGACCCAAGTGAAGTGAAAATCAATGAAGTGTTGAGGAGTAAATGGGGAACTGATCCTTTATTCCTGGGGTCTTATAGTTATGTGGCAGTAGGATCAAGTGGTGATGATTTGGATAAAATGGCAGAGCCATTGCCTAAAGGTAGTGGAAGTAGTTTTGGTTCATTGCCTCCACTTCAAATTTTGTTTGCAGGGGAAGCTACTCACAGAACCCATTATTCCACAACTCATGGAGCTTACTTCAGTGGCCTTAGGGAAGCCAATAGGCTTCTTCAGCATTATCACTGTGTTGGGATTCATAACAACTACTAATTTTTAAAATCTTTCAACATTAATCGCTATGATGAAATTATTCCCATTTTCATCTCAAACATCTTTCTTTCTCTTTAAGGAAAGTGGTGAGGGATTGGAGGGAGGATAAGTTACGAGGGAGTAAGATGAGAAGAGAGAGATGGGTTAATGTACTGCAAGAAGTTATTTTTTTTAATCCACATTACTTTCTCTTCATTCGTGAGCGTGGTTCATTTTCATTTCTTTCTTATTAATCTTGTAGAGGAATAAGATAATATTTTTATTGGTACACAGAATCTTATATCGGGCTAGGAAGCTTTGGATGCTACTCTGTTTGTGTGTTTTACTTCTTTCAATGGACAGGATCCGCTAAACTCGGCTCTTTCCAGCGTGGCTTCTTAATCTCTTCATCATCAGACTCTTCTCTTCTCAACTATGGCTTATCACTTGCAGAGTCTTCGTTTATGTGTTATTTCTTAGCAAAAAAACTCCAAAGTAATCCAAGTACTTAATGTAAAAATGCATAGAAGAAGCTATATAAATTGATCGTCTCAAATATTATTGATCAAGAGATACTTATGTTTTAGCATCGAGTGAGGGAAATATCAGAATAAAGACAAGGCTTATTGAGATAATAGAGATTCAAAGCTATAGGAAAAGCCTCGTATCGAGTAAACCAACTGATGTTATCTTTTATAAATTGATTTTAAGTCCTAAACAGGACAACAGATTGACCCTTATAATTATTTCCCCATACCGTTAGATTCAATGATGACAAACTGATTGCCTTCGAAGTTTGGTTTGTGTGAGTGAGATAAGACCTATGAGAAACTGGGACAATGAATGAGCTGGCTAAATTATAGATTATGCACATGAGGGTAGGAGGAGGCACCCATAGGAGGGTCCCACGTGGCAGGTCGTCCCCCCCCCCCATAAGCAGTAGGTGTCAGTCAGTCCAAGTTGTCCTCAACAATGAGACAGAATCGGAGATGCTTATGGCCATATGATTGCAGTGATCTTTTGTGCAGAAGCTCACTTCACTTGGTCAGGATTCACAGAAATGACAGGGCCCATTCCTTCCTGTGTACGTGTATACACTCAGACATAGCTCTCTTACAAAACAAAACTGGCCTACCTTAATTGTTGTACCCATTTAGATTTCTATACAAAGCAAATCCACACTAGAGACGCTTATATAGACTGTCCACAACTGTTACAAGATACTTTTGTCTTCCTATCTCATTGTCGTGTTTTTATGTCTAATCCGATCCATCTGATAATGTACTACCCATTGTAAAACTAGCTCGATCAATAGCTGTGATTACTCTCAAAGTGGACCCATATCATAGAAATTACTGACTTCACTTCTTTTTCATGCCATGCTCATAGTTTGGGTATTATGCATAAAACATCAGGTCCTTCTGTGAAGGATCTTGTGGATCTCAATTCACTGACCACATCAAGTTTTGGCCTTGGAGCTAGAGATCCTCTGTTTCTGCTAAGAATTATTTATGCTTGTGCTTGTGAGTGTTTAGGGTGTCCTTTTGTGTGGTCAAATCAAGATATGTACAAAGTGACCCCATTATTGTGAGATTTCCCAAGATCTCTGATCTGTTCCCTATCTCAAGTTCCCCTTTGCTTAATCATAGTTTAAAAGAAAAGGAGGAAATTTAAAAAAAGAAAAAAGAAATGAAAAGAAAGGAACAAGGAAGGCCCACATGTTGTCTCTTTATGCCACTCGTGGGCTTCAATCACTCTTTGATGATTGCATATCATAGACCAATCTGTCACCTAGTTTTTGTCTGATACATAAGCGAACAAACGAGAATTTACGTTCCCCTACCCCACTCAAAATTGTTTAATCCAACATGTTAATTGCTCAAACATGGCCTTTTTGCCTCTAATTATTGTTATTGTGGTATATGGCCAACCTCCAATAACAATGCTCTACGTAATAATTGCCCACAAAAATCTGTGATTTCTTTTGTTGAAACCAAGTTGACATCCCCAATAATCTTTGAATTTGAAAAACTGTTCACATCAATGAGATCGTAATCTTTCAAGTTCAGAATTTCAGATAATATAGTTTATGCCACACAAGCCTTGTCAAGCTTTTACGTTTTTTCTTTGCCCCTTTGATTTGGTGAAAGTTTCCTGGTAGGACCATTGAATTGACGACACGTGCAAATTGGACAGATTTTTGTTTTTTGTTTTTTTGACGTTGTTAGGAGCTGTCTGTTTGCTTGCTTAAGTTGGGGTTTATTTGTCCACGTAATTTGCTTCTCATTGAGCCAAAATAAAATGATGTTTGTTGTTTTTTTTCACTCACGTCACGTACTTATCAGAAATCCAAATGATTCATATGCACCATCTGAAATCAGAAAACATCAACACGAAATGAACTATGAAATGTGAATCACATCGTGGGTCTCTTCTCTCAATGAAATGGATGTTAAAGGCATAAATCTCTCTGGTTTTTCTCTTTATCTCTTTATTTTTTTCAAATCCATTGTCTACTGCTTTTCTGTTGTTATTTTTTTTTTTTGGGAAAAAGGTGAAAAACTTGCATTTAGCTCAAAACCTATTTACATCTGATCACCCTATAACATAATCTAGCACGATTGGGATTTTCATGCTTGAAAATATGTTGTCATGTCATAAATCAGACTGTATCCATTTCATAATCAGCCCATTTCATCAAAATCCTCATTACTTTGGTTGAAAATTTGCATTAAAAAAAGATACGGTCTCTTTGTTTCAGGGTTATCATTGATTTTCTGTTTATTCAATTGGGTTTACTGTAATAGTTGTTTCTTAAGTATTATGATTCCTTTCACCTTCACCTTTGGACAAATATTTCTTTAACTTCATGTGTCCAACTTCTTTATCATAATGATCCTACTTTTCCTTTTCTACATATCTTATATTAAAAGTTTGATGATAGAAGATCAAGAGATGTATCTATATCTCCCTTTACTCCTATAAATCAAAAGAGAATAACTTTTTTTCAAAACTGAAAGAGCCAATAGGGACTAGTAGGAAGATGACAGATTTAAGTAAGTCATCACATTGGGGATAGGAAATTGGCTTTAGGAAAACCCTGGTAGAGATATTCATAAAGAAATAACAACTAGCATATTGCTTAAATCCTGAGAGGTGGAATCTAGAGATGTAGTAATAGTCTTAGACTCATAGATAGGCTGCTTTGATGTTTCCCAAATCCCTAAAATATTGGTTCATTACAGTAATTGTTTTTTGAGTGATGGAATTCTTTGGCACATATTTTTATGAACTTGCATTGATTCCTTGTAAATGGTGAAACTAACTTGCCAACGTTGATTTAATTGGTAAGAACTAAACTCATACCTTATAAAAGCATATGTTTTAATTTCACTATTGATTGAAGACCCCATTGCTTTAAAAAAAAAAAAATCTTTAAGTACTTTTATAATCATTCTTTCATTATGAAGGCTGCTTCTGCCTTAACTTTAATGAATTTTTAAAGTTCAGCTTGCTCAAACTTTTTTTTTTCACAGAAAAAACTAACTTAGCTATCACAGGCCCACAATCGCTTTCACGGTGCTGGGAGCAGAGCAACCAAGGCACAATTGTTTTTTAGCTGGACATGTGCTTGATAGAGCTTGAGAAGGACAGTGTTGGAATCTCTTGTTTTGGAAGACATGGATCCAAACAATGTTAAGCTAATACTTTATATAATGGGGGAGAAATATGAAACAAAGTGGTTCTTTACTTTTGTTCTCTTTATGTTTTGTTGGGGAAGAGGTGGATGCTTTTGTGTAGTGTTTGAAGTTTATTGGAAGGCGAGGACTCTCTCTCTCTCTCTCGCTCAATTGTTAGATGCATTCAGTATTCTTTTTTCCTTTGAGGAGAAAAAAGGAGGTGAGATTTGAGCGTACTACCTCTGATCCTTAATATAAAATCTAATATGCAATTCAACTGCAAACTAAATCTTATATGAAGGATTGGAGATAGTAATTGATTCGCTACTCCCTGGATTAACAGGAAGACCATTGGAATTTTTATCAGCCGAGGGTTCTTATATGATGTAAGATTAATCAGTAACTAAACAACAAAAAGTAGGTTTTTGGTGATTTTAGGGAGATTAAGTATAATTGTTCTTTTGGCTTTTGAGGAGAGAGGAAACTGAAACGCCAGTGGATTTTTAGGTGATGTTTGTTCGTATTAATTTTCAAATTCACCTTAATTTGAAAACATATACTACTGAACAAATCTTGGCTGTGTCAAACTAGCAAACTATACAAAAATTTTAGAGTTCCTATTTGTTATCTTTTTTTTCCTCTGAGCAAACCATATCATGTTATCAAGTCAAGTATCATACTGGTTCAAATTAAAATTGGGCTATCAAATGAAAATTTATACGCGCTCAAGTGAAAATGTAGCTTTTGAGATTAAAGGTCACATCTTATGTTTCAATCATCAGCTTTAATTGAATCGGGTGGAAGTTTTTCTCCAATTTTTTTGTGGGCAGTAATAACCCAAGTTTCTTTCCAAAATTATATTAGAGGAATTGAAATTTTTAAGACCTGAGCCTAATCCAGATTCCAATGTCATATTCATCAGTTATGACCTAGGGTTGTCTCAAATGCATGTGTTAATACTGCCCACAGTATAGATTATATGATGAATTAATGACTTTCTAATTTCTTCTTGATCCAGTTTATCTGCTATCCATTTTCCTTTCTAGTGCTACCTCCTTTATTCTTACTTGCTTCTTTCTTCCTGCTTGATAATTGAATCTGCTTCCACTTACTGTCTAAAGTGCTTGGAATTAAGAAATATACCTTGCTCAAGTATATCAACAAGCTTAGAACTCTGAACCAACTTCTTATCACAACATTCTTATTACATAAAATCAAACAAGAAAAAAAGAAGATGATGAAATTGCTTTCTTGCAAAAATGTAATAATTTTAATCTCCCCCAGCATGTTCCACTATCACCATTCATACCAATGCACAAGGACTCAATCCTACAATTACTACAGGTTCCAAAACTGTATGAAGCAGTAAACAGTGAAATACTATATCTACTTTTTTTGACGATCTCTCTATAAACACAGTATAACGATAAATTCAACATATTCCATACTTGCATCATCTTCATTTTGTAATCTACTACCTTGTTTCTTTGGCTAAAGCGATATAGCCAATGTCACCTCCCATTTCTTCAAATACAACTAAGAGATTCCCAGTTGGCTTTAGCCATCCACGAGGGACATGAAACCTGAAAATTTACAGTGTTAATAGGAAATCATGTATAAATTATAGTGCCTTTTACTGTTGCAATAAAATTTTGTAGTTCTTACCATCTTTGTGAGGGTGATCCGCAATAAAGTCGACATTTTGTATCAGTATAAGTTCCAGCATAATTGCACTTGTCAACACAATTACCCTTTGCTATATATGCTGGCCAGTGCCGTCCAATGTTCTGACCATTTATCCATATCTGACCTTTCCCCATGCTAAGCATATCCAAAGCCAATGGATCGGTACCTGCCGGTTCGTCAAAGGTAGTCTGGTAATACCAAGGCATAAAATTATTCAGAATAAGTGCGAATGTTAGGACCATATGTAATAGGTTGGATTTATAGAATTGGATTACAGAGATCATCCTTACCTTGTACCATGTCAAGGCTCTTTTATTGGCCAATTCTGGACCTTCTGCCCATTTAACAGAGGTACTACCGCTCTCAGTATAAATGGGTGAGATTTCACCTCTCAGGCCAATCTGATCAACAGAAGCAACGGCGAAATATAAAAGAACACATTGCTATGTAGATTGTTCAATGTGACCAACTATAACAGAATACCACCTATGGTCCTAAAAATAGAAGTTAGGCAAGGGGTTCACTTTGTTCTTAGATATAAAACCTCAGTTTGCTTTGCCTTCCAAATTTATAATTTTTTGAACAAAGTATTCTTATTGATTGTACTTATTAAGGAGGCTCCCGATTAAGGGGAATTTCCAATGTACATAATTAAATAGGGAAGTTTAGGAAAACTAAGACTCTTGTTACAAATAATTAATTTAACTAATCTTTTTAATATCTCTAAATTAGTTATTTAGCTTAAATGTTAAGGACTAGAGGTAGTGTTCAGTTTGCTTTAATGCTTCCAAAGTGTTTATGTTACTATATCAATGCTCCTCCATTAGTATGTCTCTATTTATCTTTGTAGTTTACGCCAATCTCTGTCACAATTTTTCATTGCTGCTCCAGAACGAATATAACATAGGTAACAAACCTTGTAATACCATTCTTGTTTTGACAAATCTCTTGTCCCTTCACTTAGACCACTCAGCGTGACTGGACCTAACAACCCAACATTCCAGGTCTCGAAGTGCACAGAATGAAAAACACCGATATTCTGGTTTTAATGAATGAAAAAGGAGTTAAAAATCCATTTATCTGCATGCTAAAACTAGTATTAAGAACAAATAAATATCAAAAATTGAGAGAACTAACCGGTAGGCCCACAGAAACACTAAGCAAAGCAACTTTGTTACTGCCAACATTCAGCTTTACCTCCTGACTAAATGTAAATTTAGAGTTTCCTAAACTCCCATACGCAGTTCCTAAATTGATAGATGTATGTATATATAAGGAAATATGGACTTCGGTGTAGCAACATAGAAAGCAGAAAACAATATTATCTTTATTTACCTGAATATTGACCATTAATGAAAACATGCAAAGCATGGCCTGCTGACATTACAGTGAGATTGGCAGATTGTCCATTCTTCAGATCATTACCTCCGATAGTGATACTGAAATTGTAATGTAAATATCATTTAGATGGAGATGAGGCTAATGAAAATTATCAAGAAGATGAAATTTTACCATGAAATTATGTGTTGAGATATACTTACTCTGTCATATACCACAAGTAATCTGTAGAATCCCACGTGGTATTAACCTGCTCAACAAGTTCATTCTTTGAAAACGTCTCGCCTGCACCGGGAGACCCGGGTAGTTCGCTGTATGACTGCCATGAAAATGCTTTAATTACAGGTGTAAACGTCATATCAGTGCTTGGTGCACTAACCTGTATGAAATCACAATCAGGGAAGGTCAGTGCAATAAAGAGAATTTCATATCAAAACACTATCTGTATAATACCATCTGTCATTAAAAAATAAGTCAAGACTCAAAAGAAGGTAAATTCTTGTTACTGAAAGAAATAAATGTGACCCTTAGTTGCACAGATAATTTCACCAAACATGCCATTATAGATCATGTCCATGCATGTTTAAAATATTCTAAGTTGCCAGCCATCCTATCTCACCTTTGCAGTATTGAAAGCGACGGTTTTGCAATCAGGCAGAATGCTAACAGACCAGGGTGGCAGGTCATATTGGGCATTGCCAAATGTCACCTTTCCCCATGTTTGGGGATCATAATTTCCGAGGAAAGCAGCACAACTAGAGTTTGCCTTGAACACACGAACCTAAGATAGTAATCAAAAGGAGAACCAAATGAATTCCAAAACACAAGGCACTTTCCCTGTTTTTCTTCAGGAACGGATTTAAGAACCGTACCTCCAGGTATTTTCCAAACCAAGTCTCTTCGGGATCTACAGACAATAAAGCTGATTCACATTGCTTTATTGCTTGATGCAAATCCTTCATATGCCCCCATTTAGGTTGGTTTAGAAGTCCTGGTAAGTTTAACAAGCTTCAGATTAATGTGACAACAAATCTCTACTTCACCTGTGTAAAATTCAATGGAATATCTGCAAATTGCCTAATGTGTGTGTGTGTGTGTATTGCATCTCCCCTAGTGCCAAGGATTTCTTGTAAAGAGTTTAAAGTATATCATCAACCAAAACTTAAACAATTTTAACTTCATGTGCGTACCAAATTCATCAACAAAAGCATCATAGTCATAGCTTGTTGTAACGAAGAGGCCAGACGTCCGGCCAAAGTTAGTTCCTCCATGGAACTGGGCACAAAAATGAGATATTAGGCCTAAACAAGAGTTTTCCACAACATGAATAGGAGAATTAAAAATAACACAATGAAAATCATTAAAAAGGACCCCAAAAAAAAAACAAACTACCATATAGTAATTAACAACTGAGCCTCCATTTTGTATGAATCTGGCAACTGCATATGCCATGTCTTCTGCTGGTCTTTTAGGGACTCCAGCTCCATACTCAGTGAGCCTATGGGACAAGAAATCCACACTAAACAAGGATCCGGATAAAATGTATGTATTATAAATTAATTGACAAATGAAGATAGGATAGTGCCTGATGATACAAGAAGAGATAAGGGTATGATCATAAACATGAGAACCAGACAAAAATACAAAAAGATAAGGAGTTAAAAAGAACTATATAGGCATACCAGGCACTCCAATTCTCAGTCCAGATTTTGGGTTTGTACACTTGGTTGGGAGTGAAGCCCTCACAGTAGTAGCCATTGCAAGTATTAATCTAGGGCCAGTTAAGAAAATTAAAGGTCAGAAAGAGATGAGGATTGCAATAAATTTGGAGGAAAAGAGGAAGATAGTGTTAGATACGTACAATGGGATCAGGAGGGTCGTCGTGCTTGCACATCACCCAGGGCACACCAATGTCAAGTCCCACAGCCATTTTAGCAGCCCAATTGGCGTAAGCTTTGCCAGGTGCCCCAAGTTCCCATTCCACTGGTCCGTACTCGTTCTCTATCTGTCGTTTTCATTGAACAAAGATCTCTATTCTCTTATGCCATGCTAGTTGATGATGAT